CCAGGGTTTCTACCTTTTAAAAAGAACACTAAAAGGGGTCCCTTGACTATCCATGGCCTTTTTATCTAGCTCTGCATTAGCCTGTCAGAGGAATCAGATGGAACCAGCACATCATTGTAGTAACACCCACTCAACAGTGATTGACATTTAGTAGACATGCCAGCCTAAACCATTAAACACGGCTTTCATGAAGAATGAACAGTAGAAGCCAGTAGACCAGATGCTGTGATATTTTATATTTGCAGTCCAAATTACAATGCATGGCATAAGACGTGTCTATGCTACCCTCACGTACACCTTACTGCTCAATACAGCACACACTATCACTTGCAAGTCTGTCCTACTCCATGTGGAACAATACTGCATTCACACATAAAGAGCAACACAGCATCTTCTAGTACTCTGTTAGCTGTAAATCCTAGATTCAGTGTGCCTAGTAGGCAGCCTCTGCAGTAACTTTCTCATCCAGATAACATTGGCTCTATGGAAGTTGTGTGCACCACATAGGACACAGCACCAGTGGTTGATACCCCTACTCCTCCAAAACCCAGGGGGCATTTTTAAGACAGTTTGTGGGTGTTTGCAGACAGGAAAAGTGCCTGCTGCAGTGCCCTTCAATGAAAAATCAGAGGCACACAGTAGGGAGAGAATGGGGACAAAAATAAAGAGCAGGAAAGTTTTTCACCAAGCGCCAGGGATGGAAGCAGATGGGACTGAAAGAAATTATGCTGGAAGCAATGTAAACAGGGCATTGTTTTCTTCTCAGCAGGCAGTGGATGCCTACATTTAAAGCCATATCAGACTCAAAGTAATTTCATCTAAATCACAAGCAATATTTTCACCGTTCTAATAACAACTAGGTCTGAATCTTTCTATGTTTTGCATAAGCCCAGCTGTGGCTAGCTCTCTTTTAACACTGCTGGGATAAACTCTGTTACCCTTAGCAGTGTTGTTTTCAGTTTTGGAGATCTGATTAGTGGATGTGCACACAGAAAGAACAATAAAGCACAGTGATTGTGCAGTACTACCAAGCAGGTAGTATAGTAAAGCCAACACAGGTAAGATCTACACCTAGACTTACAAGCTTAACCCAGAAACAAGACCTTTCAAAATATAATTTACTCATTGATCAGAATATTTACGTTATGCTGTTAACTTTCACACAAAAACTATATATAGTTTCCCTTTAAAGGGTCAGATGAAGTGGCTGGTTTGGCTGCCTTTTTGAAATTGCACAGACACTTGTCACCAATAAAGCCTACTTTGAAATTGAACTAGTACAATATTATGTTGACTAAGGTTAGGCACCCTGCTGCTTGCTGCACTGACCCATTCCGAAATTAGCAGAGGAAGTCTTTTTTTGTTTTGTGCCCCGAGATGAAATCATAAGCTTACTTACACTGCCACCGGTGAAACACTAGTGTTTTTTGTTTTTTTATAATATATATGTTCATTGTTGCACTCCTTTCCAAACACTACCCTTTTTGAACCAGCTTCAGTTCCTCTTAGGACCAAAATGAGAGTGACACATCTACATGTCTACAAATCCTTTTTTAGGTCATTTAAAAAAATAACTGATGGGCATGTGTAGCTTTTCCCTTCCTAGGTCTTTGTGCAAAAAGGACTTTGTGTACGGAAGCAACACTACAGCTATTTTAGTCTTGTCTTTTCTGAAGTGTTCTCTGCACTGGGAGAATAGTTATTGTACACATATACTGTAATTGTATGTTGTGTTTGTAAGGACGGACATTTAGAGTTTGGGTCTTCCACACAGTATTTGATTCCCTCCATTTTATGTCAGTATTTCTTGTCAACTGCATTTCCCTAAACGATGTTGGGCATGGATTAATAATGTGTCTCCTTACTGGGAAATAGAATGACCTTAAAGGTATTCGTTAAACACTGTTAAATCATCAAGAGATTGGGAGAAAATATGATTGCTTGAAAGATGACTTAATAGACTGGAAGGTAACATCTTCAGTTCCCAGCTGCATGGTTAAAAGGTGCTGGGTTTATGTGACTTCTTTTGGGTTGGAGGCTTAAGTTATACATTTGTAGCACCTATGCTTGATCTGGTTCAGTGATGTTCCTTTTGCTCTTTCCTCCCCACACTGCTTCCACTTGTCTTGGCACCCAAAGGGTCCCTTTTTGTGTAGCAGAGAGGTGAGAACAGAAGCGGTGAGGGGAGCAAATCACCAGATGAACCTCACTGTATACAGAGAGCTGGAAGTATATTTTAACCACAGCCCGCTGCTTTTACCAAAATTAAGTTGTTTTAAATGGGGATTTTCATAGCTGCCAACTAAACAAAACAACTTTCACATCAAATCTGCAATTCAAGGGTTGTATTGTCTAAGACGTATTTATTAACGTATCGATCAAAGTAAATTGGTTTTGAACCAAACTTGATGGTTGGAAAATGTATTGCTGAAGATGCATAGGTATTTGGTCTTGTATTATTTTTACTATTGGAATTCTTGCAAGAGTTTTTATAGGAACAAAAAATAAAAATGAAGAAATTATATTCTTTTGCATGGACTTTTATTTATCTGGATCATTTTATTTGTTATTTGAATGGCTTTTATAGATGGATAGTAAATTGCATCTAAAGTCGTTTTCTCACGTAGGCGCACCCGACGCATATCTGCATGTGTATGTGGGGGGCGGGGACTTAAGAAAATTTTTCTTTTTGAATTTTTTTAATGCTTTATTTTTTTAATCAACTTTATTGCTATTACATGGGGGGCTAAGAAGCCCCCTATGGGATAGCCAATTTACATGACAGGTCTTCTTTATGGAGACATCAGGGGTCTTGAAGACCCCTAATGTCACCTAGGGAACCCGGGAGAAGCTGATGAAGGAGAGATCGGCATCATCAGCTTCTCTAGCTGGAGAGTGACACTGAATATAATTAAAACATGTAAAGACTTTTGAAAATCTGACCTCTTTAGGAAGAAACCATAGCACTTTATAGCTGTACATTTCTGAGATGTTACCTCAGCACAGCAAGAAATAGAGAAAATCAGAATGTGTTGGATAGCTGTATACAGGTTCTCTTTAAAGTGGACCTGAGCTCAAAGTGAGGATTTGCTATGTTATAGCGAACACCCTAGAAATCGGAATTGTGCCAAAGGAGTACACTGCAATATTTGCCCTTTAGAGTTGCACATGAAAAATAGGTGTGGACTTCTGATATGTGAGGGTGCCTATGCACTCCTGTGTCTTCAGCTACATAGCTGTGTATCTGCAGTGTGAGATCTAAAGGCTCTGCTGCCTCTGCTAGTCTCCAGGAAATTTGTTGCAAAATTTAGTGTTGTCAACACAATGCTGCTGACTGTTCGAATGCTGGAAGCTCTGATGTAAGAAAGCTAAGCCTTGCCTCTACCAAGATGGCT